AATGACGAAATTTATCAGCTGCAGACTAGCAACAATCGAAAACAACAAAAAGCGACCGTGAAAGGGAGATCGTCAAGAAACTGTCACATTGTACAATATGCACGAGATTTCGTCTAATCATTTCTTTATGTGCGTATATATTTATATACACGTATCCGCAGCGGAGCAACGAGAAAGTCGCTCATCGACCCCGGGTGAAAATGTCGGATGGAAAGGGAATAATCATCGTAACAATGGGCATTAACACGGGGAATCCCGATGGGCGAGACACGCACATTTAGTAAAATCACCATCACAATTGAATTGCCGCTCGTCGAATAACATTAAAATAGAACATGATGAAAACAAAGGGATGTATAAAGACTTACTTGGTAAACGGCTGCCTTGGGTAAATCAAGGCAAACTGCGCAGCAGAGGATGCCGCCCAGGCGGTGCTCCAGCTTTTGCTCGGTTTTCCCATCGTTCCGCGACGATTTTCGACGCTTTTTGTCGGACTCGAGGTAATGCGCGATTGTCTCAAGATGGTCGCGAATTGGAGTGGCAGATAGCTGCTCCGAAACGCTACTCGACGATGCAGCTTCGTTGCTTGGGTCCGCCATATTGATTGTTTTGATTTTTCCTCGGTGCGAGCGTGAGAAATGCGCAGATGTCAAATGCAGGCTACGCAATAGTCGCCAAAGACAGGGGCAACAACGACACAACACTTGTTTGCAATTTTATCGAACTGGTTGAAGTCTAGTTCCGGTTTACCAACCCTGATGCGTATCGATTTTCATGATATTTAATTATTCCCTTCTAACGAGCAGCAAACAGCGCGCCATAAATGAATGCTGGCAGCGCTTGGGTTCACCGTTATCCTTTGGGGCCAAGAAGACTACTACAGCGCAATAATTATATAAGAATATTACCTTTCTTAACACAATCTTTTTATTCGAAACCTGTTCCACGGTCCGTTTCCTTTTTATGATCGTAATAATAGCTTTTCATTCGGTCAGATATCATCGTTCGTTCGAACCATTAATTAAAAACTATTTGGAAGCTTACTAGTAGCTGTACAAACGTTCCTCCATCCTACTGTCAACCTGATTTCCGGTTGCGTAGGATAAATTTAAACGATTTAGAAAATACTATTCCGAAAAGCCTAGATCAGTTATTAATTTTCTTCAAATTTAATCTATGGGTTTAATTGCAATGTCATGATGACGAGAGTCGTTGAACGTTCAAATAGATCCTCAACAAAATGGCCGCTGCTGTTTAATTTTTAAACGTAGGAGTATTCTGTAATTGTTGGAATTCTTGTTTCCCGGTGTTTCGTGGTCGTCTCGAAATTCGATTTTATTATAGTTAAATAAATAAATGCTCGGTGCCATGCTAAGAGTTATAATGACGCGATTGTCCTTGTATTCTCAATTATGAGACGTGAGAGAAGTCGTCAGCAGGTGATAGAAAGAAAGCTGGATAATTAAATTTGAACAATCAATTCTTTATTCACACATCGACAGTGTCGTTTCTTTTATTTCGCACTCCCCGACAATCCCCATTTATAAATTCATATAATTTCGTGTGATATTCCCCTCGCAGCCCTTCATTTAATAACCGTAATCGTTCTTGTTTCTCCCTGTAAATACAATCTTTTATTTCTCGCTAGAATGGACGTATTTACGTTTGTTTAAATATATTCGCAAATAGCTACAATTCACTGGACGAGTACACGCGTAACCATTATATAACATATTCAAGCAGAAGACAGAGAAATCAACGTGCATTCTTCACTTATATAATGCAACCAATATTAGGGCGCATCTAAATTATAATGGCGCTAATTAAGGGCCTGTTTACGGAATATAGTAGACATGAATTCAATAATGCAGCACCCACCATCGTTCCATAAATGGGTGTACCTCGAAAAATACATTGATCCGAAGAGACTATAAGGTATATGGCAAACAGCTGCCATACACTAAAATCAATCAAACATGAAAGTCGAAAATTTCAAATTCAATGCTTCCAATTCTATGCAGTTTTCAAGGTACATCGATTTGTACATTAAGATGGATCATGTTGTACAAGAGACAATGAAAATCAGGATGTATATCGTCGTTGTGTTTCAGTTACAAAAGAAAGAGAACAGAAATTACAGAATGGTACAGAATACATCATTTGAGATTTTCCACGTTGTCCTGTGAAAATCAAACTAATCGAAAATGAAAACAGATTCTAACAATTCAATGTTTTTGCTAAGATCCGGTTTCTCTCCTCTAATGTTACCGGGTACGTTTGGCAAATTTATGGCCTACGACTGCGCTACAAACGGTAGAAGAGTAGAAAAAATGTCTCGCGATTACACCGCGCGCGGGCTTCGCAACGACGCGAAATTTTGTCTTCTTAAAGGGACAAGTGTAAACGCTCTTTGTACTTTTCGATGGTATATCTGAAACACCCGGGTAGTTGCATTCTACAGACTCGCATTCGTTACACGAGATATACACGGTTTTCAAATACACAGTATTCGATCTCGACAACGTCCGATCGACGTGCCAGGTTCTTGTTCGTTATAAACAGCGTTCCCTAGGTCATGCTCCATCACGAACACTCGCTTCGGACGACCAAGTGGACCGATCGTTCGGGTTGCACAGAGAATAACATGATCCAAGGGTATAAATATTTACCTTTCTATGTACATGGAATTTTCAACATACTTAATTTATTCGTATTTACAAATACACACTCCTTCGTGCTCCAGGGAACGGAACCACTTTAACCATACAAAGCGAAACTTCGTTCACACATGATCAGCACGCATTACGGGGTTTTTATTGAGCGTTCTGGTTTGCTTGATGATTTCTTTGCCGGTGTCTCACCAGAAACTGCAAAATATTTCAAGAATTACTTCTTAAAGCACTTCTTTAACCCTCTATGGGCCGAATTTTCGTTCACGATTATAACAAAATCTATGCGGTAGAAAATTAACAATGTATTCGATAGTTTAAATAATTTCATCAAACGAATATATTTTGTAACTTTCAAGTTACAATGACGTTAAACTTTCACGCCTGAGCGTATAAAAGTTAACCGATTGCTTAATTTTATTCACCACTTTGAGTGGAAAATGAAATAAATCAACAAGATGCAGAAGGTTAACGATAATTCACGTTAAATTCAACTTTACAGTTTCCAGAATGAAAATAGAAGCCGTACGTAGGGAGCACGTTTACTTCAGAACAGCGCACAATGATTCAGTGTTACCCCTCTACGCACGAGCAACGTCTACCTCTTAACGTGGAAGTTAAATATTTGTCGTGTCGTCTGATCCACTAGACGTTTACCTTGGAAATCGACTCACCTGACCCATCGCGATTGAGCTCGGCCGTCGGGTTTTCGGCGACCGATTCTTTCAAGCTTCTCGCTTTGATCAGTTTCTGGTCCAGGCTGTCTTCGGCTAGCAACGCATTCCTAGATGTTCTCATAGTAACGTGCGATTGTTCTAGCTGAGTTACCCTGTCGTTGAGACCCGTGTTGACTGCTTGAATCACGGCCACCTAAAGGAGAGAATACCGTTCAGAGAATATAGAAAAATATATAAAAAAGAACTATGTACTTCAACACGTACCTGGTCACTCAGTTTTTTAACAGACGTCAAGACAGAAGTCTTCACACACTCTCTCTGCAGAGATATTACTTTCATACTGACATTCTGTGAGGTCTCCTGAAGCAACACTAACGTTTCCTGGAAAGATTGGACGGTTAATAATCCACTAACTGAAACTTGACCTTTAACCGAATCATTTCATATTTACATGATCCTTCTTCTGATCCTCAGCGACCCACTGCACCGCTCTCGACAATGTTTCATTCACGTGGCTCAAATTATTCGACAATCGCACTATCGCCGCGTTCAGCTCATCAGTCTTTATCTTTGTTTCATTTGTGGTCACCATTTGTGGTCTCTGGGTAACGTTTGATAATTCCGTTACTGTATTCTGCAAGGTGAAATAACGGTGATTATTTAACACAGAAGATCTAGTGTTCAATGACTTCCTCAGCAGAAGGCCTTTCATAAATCGGTTCAGTTACTGACCTTGATACTTGTGATATTCTGCTGCATAGTGGCTTGGGCATCTTGCACCCTCGCATTGGACTCTTTCAGAGTCTTCACCGTGGCACTCAGGTCCTGTATTTGGCTGCCAAACGATACCACGCTACTTGACAGTGCCTTTAAGTCTGTGGGCACGTTGGCCAATTCGGGAGCAGCTTTGAACCACTCCTCAACCTGATGTAGGTCACGTTGGATAACAGCTAACTGAAAGCCAAGGTATCGCGTTTTAACATTAAACACATTAATCGACAACATAATCAGCCATTCCATAAATAATGTTGCTCCTAGAATTAGTATCTTAAAGCGTCGACGGAACCGATAATCTAACTACATCCTTGACTTTTCAGGGACCCACTACTGTTTCCCAACGTTATATATTTTCCAGCAGGAGAACGTAAGTGGGTTATATTTTACTAGAACTATGCCGTCCGCCGATTGGAAGCATAGTGAATTATTTGTAAGACTAATGATTGCCCGATCGATTATTTAAGGTAGAACGAGGAACTACACTGCTTATCGAATCACCCGATGGATCAAGGAGGCGAATTTATGTAAAACCGGATCGAATGTTCCCCGTGCGCAGTGTTCCACTTGTAATAGTCACACTGCGCGGGATTAACGATGCAATTATAGAGAGAACTTCCGACTATTTAATTGGCCGATGGTTAGCTTCGCCGTGGGGATTATAAAGGGAGGACGAAACATGATTATAAGGAGAGGATACCGTATTATCTGAAACTGCGGTTCCAGAGGCGGCGCCCGGGAGCATTACCTGTGTTGTAAAATTATTGATTTGAAGCTTGAAATCAGACAAATGAGTGAAGATAATGGTTTGGTTGTTCTGGAGGTCTCTTGACAGGGAATGGCATTTCTGTAGAGCATCGGGAACACCTTCGCTGCCGGCTCTCACTGAAATGCACGAAAAGATTTCCTTGTAGAATGATTAATACAGACGAGAATCAATGTAATTGGTAAATCAGTTTTACAATCTCGTGATCGTGGCCGGGAACAGATGAACACTGAATTACGTTTGACAATTGTACCCGTTTCTCACGTAAACCATTGTTGCAAATAAAATTCGTTTTTTACGAGACGAAGTGTAACAGTGACTCAACACTATCGACAATTCCGGGAATGCTGACTGGAAATTTAACTATCCGCGATGATTTCAGTAATCTTAAGCCACGTTAGCGTTATAAGCGTGTCGCAATCGGTTGGAGGAAGAAGGCAGAACGCACGGGGCGTGTTCATCGCCAATTAGTCTTCTATACAAGGTGTTAATTTCAACTCGAGCACTAAAATTAATTCCGCTATTATTGAAGTTAAGAAACAATCGACTAAATGGTATATTTAAGTAAGATTCCTTTGTATCGCCATCAGATGCACGCCTTAAAGCTATGTACATCCTATTTAGTCAATTTTGTTTTACTTTCAACGATAGCAGGCATAATTTAAGCCGCGTTAAAATCAACACCGTGTTCATTAATTTCCATAAATAACGCCAGTAATATCTTACTAATTCGACTTAATGGTTAAATCACGTGATTGATAATACAATTAGAAAAATTCAGTAGAAACAGCCAGCCGTGACTAGACACGTCCTGAAACTCGTGCCCGAGTTTTCAAACTTTTTACATTCTCCCCGTACACAAGCGAACGGCTTTTTTCGGTTTCGTTGCTAATTGTTACTAATTTATACACATCAAGACGCGTCTTTTCAAAATTATACTCATCCTGGTTTAGGAATTAAGACGACGATCCCGGTCACCGTTTTTCCCGAGCGTAATGCGGACCAGGTATTTTTAATGGAATTTAACGCGTCGCCTCATTAGGGAAAATGGCGGACCGGTTACCGGCACGCCTAACGTCTGCGAGCAGCAAACGATCAATTAGGATCCCGAGCGTGTTCGGCATACGTAATCCAATGTTTGTCAACAGACGCACGGGGCTCACGATCTTTCGCCGGTAAGCGCGTTAGAAACGCGGTAATCGACGCGTTATAAGCAGATTACCTGTCGTGGCGCTGTCGGAGCGATCTTATTAGTATTTATGAGCCGTAAAGTATCATAACCGGCTAAAAAAGAGGAATACCCGATCGTTCGCAACGTGCACGCGCGCCTCTATTCTGGAACTCATAACTGGGGATCGATTTTCCGTTCGAGCCTCGATTCCTTTTGCTCCTCTGCGAACGAGGCGCAAGTGAATTCCAATTTAGGGATTAAATCGAAGTTACGGTGTATCGGTCAGTGTCTATGTTCTTTCTTTTTTTTTCTGATCGGTCGTTCCTGCCAGACTAGAGCTGTAAATGAACTTCGAATTTCGAACTTCGAACCGTAGAAAACGTTTCTGACTGTTCGAATATAACTCTCATCGAGAGCTATCAGGCTTTCTTTGGCTTCAATTTATTTATTCAGATATTCATTTGGATTTTGGTAATCCTCTTTGCATGGAATTCCTGGGCTGGATAGATATCGACGAGGATAATATTCGAACAGTTAGGAACGATCGCTACAGTTTGAAGCGCGAATGGTGAGTTTGTATTCGAGGGACACTTCGAATGCTTCGATCCTCTTTTTACAGCACTATTCTAGACCTCAGACAGATTCGTGGTGAATACCTTGGTCCAGCTCGGTCCGTAGTGCAGTGAGTTGCTGACGAACATCGATGAACAGCCAAATTAAACTAGCGGTTGCTAATACAGAGGCACAAGCCAGAAAGGCACTACAAGCTTTAAAAAATCCGGGGCAAGCTCGACTTCGTCTGCCTCTGCATTTGCGGCCATTTCTAGTCGATACATTCCAGTATTCCGATCGTTCGTCGCTGCTATCTGTTAGTAACTCCTAGAAATTTAGGGAAAATAAGTGACGACGGCCATCCCCGTTCCGCCTCTTCGTGCGAGGCGCAAAACAACAACTTTAGCTATTAATCCGTATCGTCGTCGCGAACGCTGAACGTTACCTTGTAACGTATGAAATGCTTCCTCGAGCGAAATAGACCGAGGCAATCGGAAGAGATAAGAGGATTAACGGGGGACCTGCGAGATAATATCTCGCCGCTAATTAACGACGATCAATCTGTCGAAACGGCATTGCTTCATTTCCCGTCTGTACTCGTGCGCGCGCGTTTCGTCGGTGAATTTCGCGGGGTCTCGATTAAGACCCGAGAAGCTCGATGTCGATCACTGAATGTAATTATAGGAAATTCACGGTCGAAGTGTTCTACACTTCATACGTTACAATTAGAAGTCACCGCGGTTAAAAATAGTACCAGGAAAAAGCGATCACACAAAAAACAACAGTCAACCTTCATTCAGCCGGTGTCGGGTTATTTTTTAGCCCCTTTTTTTATCTGTGTTTCTTGTGCCGGTGAGTAACAGGTTTTATCGTTCTATCGTCGCGTGCTCTCGAACTTGAAAGCGTCATCTGGATTCTAAGAGGATCGACGGATAATCCGAACTGTTTATCATTGAAATTTCAACTGTCTCCAAAACGACCCGACATCGGCTAGCCAAGCGTTAAAAAAAGGTCGCAACGCGTACCGAAGACCGGACAACGAATGGCACGGTCCGTTTCACGGGTCACTTCGAAACGGGAGTACCATCTGACACAAGTAGAGTAGACGGTTTTAGGGTGAAGTCGGCGGAAGAAAAGCGAAAAATGTGAAACGGTCAATAGTCGGAAAAGAGTACTCCGGTGCAGGAAGAAGAGTGTGTGCTTGGACGGAAGAGTAGGGTGCACAAGCGGACGAGAAGAAGAGTATCCCTTTTGTCCTGTAGACTCTTTCTTAAAACCGTCTACTTTGCTGTGTTACACCGTAGATGGTTCCAGGGGGTGGAGTCTGTTGAAAGGCAGACGAAACACATGGACGGTCAATTGAGGAGTAAGGGTACGCGAGCAGAGGAACAAATCCTGCTAACTTACCCCTGAAACCATCCACTTCGCATCAGCACACTGTGAATGGTTTTAGGGAGGAGTCGGTGGAGAAAGCCACTGGAAAAGTGTAGAAACTTGCGAGAAAGAGGATACATAAATAGGAAGAGAAGACGTTCGTATCCCACTGACTCCCTTCCCAGAACCATCTACAGTGTCGTCTCGCTGACGTAGCGCCGCTGGAGTTGTAGAGGGGATGCGAGCGTTACGATAGGCACGCCACGGACACGCCCACTGTAAGCCCTGCCCACTCGCGACGTAGTGGGGATGGATATTTGAACATCATTCTCATCAGGAACTATCGGATCATTTCTGGCCAGTTTCGGATATCTAATTATAGTAAAATCTTCGAACTTCCGATGAGAATATTCAAATAACCTCTACAAACAATCTTGTCACGATTGGAACGATAACGAGACGCTACACTGCCGGTCTACATCGTTGATAGATCACTTGATGGCTAGGAATGCGGGCCTGACTGGTCAGTTCTCTCATTTACGATGCTAATTCGCTGTTTGCCCGTCGGGGAACGACGTAACCAGTCGAAGCAACAGAACACTCAGCGAATGACCTTTTCCGTCGCGTTATACTAGTCACCGAGCGATCTTCCAACAGTACATACTTGCGAGCTACGTTTCCCGGAGCTCCGGCGGGAAACGGTGTGCGGTGGCGCGAGCGCGTCGAGCTCCTTCCGTTTCTTCATCTTTTTCGTCGGCTGACGAAGCGGCACCGTCACCGCCACCGAGTCCATCTCAAGCAACACCGATCCGCCTATCTTCACTAGCACTGGCGCCGATCGTTCGTCCCACTACCCTATCAGCCAAGCGAGTCCCGTCGGCTCACCCTAGCACGGTACACCGTCGCCAACTGTTCGACCACCCTGTACACCACCCGGCTGGTTCATTTTCCGCGGACGGGAAACGGCCGCTACCTCTCCTCATTTACGCCGAGCGATTAAGCCGAGGTGGTATCGCGAACGGTCACCCGGTGTTTGCTCGCTCGTTAACGATTTCCGCGGGGCCACGCACTCTTAAGGCTTCCTCGCATGGTCCCGCCTTTATCGAGCTCCCCTCTAGCACGTGCTATCGACGCGGTGACGTTTGTTTGTTAACACTGCGGAATAAATGTCGGTCACTTCGCGTTTAACCCCTCGCACTCGGGAGACGGCTGCAGTTGAAGTTAGGTTTAACACGTTCGCGGGCAGTAAACATTTTAATCGGCAAAAGTAGGAGAAACACAAATGCCGTACTTCGAGGGCATGTAATAATTTTAAAAGATTCAGGCTATATAGAATTTTAAGGTCGTAAGTTGATGAGTCACAAAGGTTTAACACTAGAACTACCGTACCAGTCAAAATGACTGGTTTCGATTATTTTGTTTAGCAATTATTGATACCTTCGAAGCATTGAATATTCGAAATGATTTTGAAAATAAATAGCTTCATTCGAGTACTATAATGAATGTCTGAAGAAACTGAAAGTAATCTATCGTTACAATTTTTATAGGAATTGCATATTAATCGTATTAAATGCTCGGTAGTTCTAGTGTTAATACAGAGGGATTGTGAAGATTGACATTTAAGCTTCGCTTAGCGCAGCAGTACGTGAAACATTCAGATAGCTGTTTCTTTAATAGTAATATTCTTTAATAACAAAGGCAAACGATATTGGAAATAATTATTAATTATTTCGTGTTACAGTAGTAGTACGCTATGATCTGGCTACTTGTTGCTAAATATTTTGATTTAAAATCAAGGTTTTCATTGTAATCGTTCTTCAAAAATTTGTGGCAGTCAACGTGTTAATTTATATATGATCCCTCGTTAAGTTAGTTCTTCAAGGTGTCTCTATCTTATAAAATGAGCAGTTCTGGTTCGAATTCTGAAGAACTTTCGAGTGCGAGGGGATAATCTTTGAAAGTACAGTGAAACTTAGCTCCTTCTGGAGCTCTGTCTTCGAATTTTAGACATTATGTACAATTAACCACTATTTTCATGGAAAACTTGGGCAATCGTTTTACACAAGGAAGTCTCTTGCTGGTTAGTTGCTCGAAATCTTCCTCGTAGAATCGCCGAGCGTCTATTTCAGACGACTCCGTGAACGAGGCTAAGCTAGGTCTATGGGTTCTAAGGGTGGACGATCGTTTCTCGATAAACGGACTTGCACAATCGACGATGAACCTAACTGGGGTGCGAGTAGAAGCAATATTTATGGACCAAGGCTAATTAACTAACTGAACTTCGGTATTACGCGAAGATACTCGTTCCAGGCGTTCCAGGAACGATAACATCAGGGGATACGTTACCGGCGAGTAAAATGTTAGCCCGAAGTTGCGTCTGTTTACCTTCGTCGGACTATAGACAAGAATAATCCCAGTGACCTAGAGATTGAAATGAGCAGTAGCGAATTTCGCGTGATCCAGAATGCTCGCGGACCTTAATGCAAAGTAAAGTGCGCGGACCATCAAACGAAATTAATGTTCCGCCTAGAACAGGAAACTAATGGCTACCATGCAGGCGGCCGGGAATGCGCGAGGTATTTAACGCGGAAGCACACCAGCAACGATCGGTCGACTAGAAATATCTGATGCAATAGGGACGACGCGTCTCTACACAGAACACGTTTCCATTTTTAAACCCGACTAATCTATCCCCTCCGCTCCTCGGGCATTGGAGCACAACACTCTTTCATTAATCAAACACCTTATCTGATCTAGACCATCCATCAACGCCGAGAATCAATATTAACTCCACAATATCAACAAAACCAGGAATCGGTGTCAACGAAACCGTACTCCAAATTACACCTACTCTCACTGAACATTAAACTACCGAGCAACTGGCGCGACTTCTGTTTTTATACAAATTACAATATATTTCTCGAGATTTTAAGTCTCTTATTCTCATATTTCTAGAAATACACAAATTTATTCTACAACCTCTCGCAACAGCGTCCTAATTGAAATACTTGTAAAATAAAGATTCTGAAATGATAGTTCCGTAGTTTCACCGTTAAACCTAGAAAAACGAATTCCATCAACCCCTCGCACTCGAGAGGTGATACGGTGAAATTAGGTCTACGATATTAACCCCACTACAATGCATCGATGTATTCACAAAAGAATCCACCTCCGACTTCCCTTCATCCTCTTATCATCTTCAAACATCCGAATCTCAAGAAACTATCGACTTACAATCGAAAACTCCCGATCGCGAAGGGTACACATTCCCCAGCGTCCAAGCGAAGTCCACGCGAGCGACGAGCAAACGCGCACCCGGAGCCACTTGAAGAAAACGCCAGGGAAAAACGGGAACACGCGTTGATAACGCGGTTGACGGCGATTGCAGTCGATTTAAGTGTATCAGCGGTGCCGCGTCCAAGGCGCTCGAACCGATAACAGTCGAAGAGGGAGTCCTCCGGACAATGCCGAGGCGGTCTGGCCAAGAGGAATATCGCCGGCGTGGGTGTCGCCGGAAGATACGCGGAGAGTGTTCGCCGCGCGAAAAATCCGCTCTGTCCGGAGTCGGTCGCGGCACCGACGAGTCCGGTCGTTCGCGTGACACTGACACCGGGCTCTGGCCTCTGCGCGACGTTCCTTCGCCGTCCGATTCGATTGCGAAACCGGCGAGAGAAGAGGATTTCACTGTCAGGGCCAACCGGACACCGAAGTTGGGAAGAAACGGGCGTCACCGGGTCGGACCGCGGCGCGAAACGAAACGAGCGTAGCGACGAATCGACTGGCACTGGTCTCCTTATCACTCGATTACCTGGTACCGGAGACAACGCCGCAGGTAGGGCGCGTCGCTGTTCCGCGACAGCGTACGTCTATCATTAGCTTTTTTGCCTTTTATTCCGCGACGGATATCGTCCCGTCAACAGTGTCATTCGTTTTTTTCTCGATGTTGATCTTATTGGAGTACGCATCGCGTACCGGGTAATTTTCAGAAAACTGAATTGTGACGGCAATTTTTACTGAGATCAACTTATATCGGTATATTTATTTTCAAGATCGTTTCGAATATTCGATGCTTTTGAGATATCAATAATTGTGGAACAAAAGAATCGAAACTGATTTTGACTGGTACGGTAGTTTTAGTGTTAATGTTAGTAATGTAAAAATAGAATGTGGTTGATGAATTTGAATGTTATAGCATCCGAGTCATTTGGCGTCACAATGAAGATGAATGCTATAGCATTCACGTTCGTGAACGTGTTAACACTTAGCTGACCGAATGAGATCTCAGAAAACCGAATTTTCAGAAAACCGAATTGTGCGGACGACAATTTTCACTCAGGTCAACTTATATCGCTGGAAAAACTCGGATATCATATTGTTATGTAATATATTTTAAATAGATAATCAATTCGAGTTGAACTTTATATTTTTTCAATGCTGTGGTAATTAGCGAAGTTGCACAGCTAAGTGTCTTTATATAAAAACGAAATTTCTTGTTACTGGTACGCAATGTGTTAACCCTTTGCACTCCAAAAATTCGTCACTAAAAATATTCTATTTTTATGAAATATAGATGATATTCTTTTCAACAAACTTAACGAGGAATCTATTCACAGAATAAGGGGTACAATGGTATTTTATTTCCCCATTTCACATATCGACAGATTATTCAAGACTTAATGTTAACACTAGATTTACGGAACACGTTAATTTGACGGATACCAAATTCTTTCAACATCATTTAGTAACAGTTTAACTCTATTTCGATTCGTGCAATCATACGAGTACGCGTTGTAATACTTTGGTTCCAAAGCTACAACTTTCGTGATTTATATGAACGAGCACGTAACTTTCTAGGAAAAATAAAATAAAGTGTAGAACAAACGTCCGTAAATCTAATGTTAAATACGGAATTTTAGAATTTTGATGCACCAATCGAGTGGCGACTGAGAGGCATCTTTGCAAAGGGTTAATCTTGAGACTCGCAGTTTTATTCGGTCAGTTGGGAGATAATTGGCAGGACAGACTCTGGTTGATTAGAAGAAACCTGAGAAAACTTAGGAATGCTTTTATTGAGATTTTCATTGTTCTGGTTGTGTATCGAGTTTAGTAGTTGCTTATGTATTTTTAGCGATTGTGGAAGAATTTAGGTACGGATGGGTTTTATGCTATGGAGCTTTAAAATCGCGGGATAAAATCAACCAATGACGAGATACACAGCTGAAGCAAAATAGAAAAGTCATGTGTTTATTTGGAAAGATAAGTAATTATCTGCAAAGGAAATTAGTATTGTTTCTAAATGACGGCCAGGCTCGTCGACCACGGTTGGCTAATTATAGATTTCCTTTGCATTCCATGCTGCATCGAAAATAATCTGCGTGAAAGGTTCTCGTGAAAAATGAGTGTATTATTTCGCACAGGAAGTCAGCGTGGACAAAGAACGTCGCTCGTGGAATGATCTAGCACGGGTCTAGCGTGAGCGATTATTTTTTTTTCCATTCCCCGATACGCGCGCGTCGTCGTCGAGGTGACGCGCGTGCGGTATGAAATGAACGCGCGTGACCGTCGCGGCCGGCGAAATGCGCGGGTGTACCTGCGGCAAACAATGTTCAATTGTTCCGGGGACTCGATGCCAATGGCGGCGAACGTCAGCCGGGATTAACAGGCCGACTGCCGCGTGAGCAAGCGCTACGTCGACGGCCCTTTCGTTTAATCGTGGCTTGTCGGTTGATTTTCGGGTCGACCGGGTCCGGCGAGCGTGTCCGCTCTGTCAGATTTCGAGCGACAATTGTGTCTCGCGCAGCGGTTGCCCGTGATAACGCATGCTCACCCTTGTCGGACAAGTAACGCTGATGAATCCGGGAACTCCCCGTTTAACACTATTCCTACCGCGAGCAGTCAAATGACTGTTTTTCAAATTTCCATTAGAATTTCCTATAGACGACGTAATCGAATCGCCTTTATACTTCACGACTTTTCCTAATATATATGTATAAAACATTTTTCAATATTCACGCCTTTTTTCGTTGTTTATTTTCTGAAAAAAGTTTGTAGCCTGTCTTACCTACCACGATCGGTCACTTGACCGGCAGAACGATTTATATCTTTTTGTAATAGTATTCTCTCAAAGACTCAATTCCGAAACTATAAAGTCGTTACAAACGAAAGGTAACGCAGTTGTGGCATGATTTTAGCCAAAAAGTGCCTTTTAGGGACTGCTTTACGGTACTTCCAAGTGTTCACAGTTCTCGCTCGCCTATCGACCTCGGTAAAATCGGTAAAATCTAAATGTCGGAGATGGTCTTTACAGGTATTTTTCAATATCCTAGATTTAGCCCGGATAAATGCATGGATTTTATATAAAGAATCCACAGAAGAAATTTCGAGGTAGGAATTTTTATTTCAATTGGCAGAAGAACTTGACTTTTCTAATATATATGTATAAAACATTTTTCAATATTCACGTCTTTTTTTGTTGTTTATTTTCTGAAAAAAGTTTGTAGCCTGTCTTACCTACCACGATCGGTCACTTGACCGGCAGAACGATTTATATCTTTTTGTACCATTTGATTTGACTTTGGTAAAACTATCACCATTTGATTTGACTTTGGTAAAACTATCGCCATTTGATTTGACTTTGGTAAAACTATAACATCTGATATCTAACCCTTTGCCCTCGGAAGTTTTCCACCGGAAATATTTGAACGTTTTCTGATGAGACAAAGACGACATTTTGTGACACTAACTCGAAGAGGAATCATACATTGAGGAACAAAGTTACATTATTTCAATATTTCTCGAATTGATGCATTATAGAAAGTATAATATTAACCCTTTGTACTCAAGAGGCGACTCCTAGTCGATTTGATACAGCAAACCTAGATGATTTGATACAGCAAAATTATAAACTTTGGAATTTACCATTAACCTTTGTATACTGCATCAATATGTGAAAGATTGAAAGAAAATAGCTTTAGTTCCCTAATTCATGTGTGATTTCTTAATAAATTCATTTTAAAGAATCTCGTCTACATCTAGTTGGAAAGTATTGAACATTTCAGGTGAGAAACTTTCGAGTGCAAAGGGTTAACCCTTAGCACTCCAGGTCGTTTTGTAATCTATCAGCAACTGCAACTAATTTTTATAGTATGCCTAGCGAAACTTAGAAATGCTGTAACATTTCTTCGATCTTTTGTTTTCCTTGTTAGTACAAAATTTCGGTGTGTGGAAATTCGAATAATTTTAGGGTAGTTTCCTTAAAATTTATTAAAATATTTAATATTAGAACTGGTACAATATTAGAGCCTACAGGGTTAAATATCAAATTTTATAGTTTTACTGTATTAAATCAAATGGCGAGTGAGAGTCACCTCTCGAGTGCAAAGGGTTAATGTTGAACTTTGTATAATGCCTTGATTCGTGAAATATGGGAATAAAATAGCTTTGTTCCTCGATGTGCTTGTGATGTTCTTTGTGTTAGTTTCAAGGAGTATCGTCTTCGTCTCGCCAAGAAATGTTAAATACTTCTAGTGAGAAACTTCCGAGTGCAAGGGGTTAACCATTTGCGGAAAACTTTTCTGACCTTTGGAAACTCTGTGCATCAAATGTATCAAATGTATCTGTTTCGAATTTTTTGAATAGTTAAATTATTTATTTGAAGCTTTCGACTTTGGATATGAACGCTCGAGGACATTCGACCGCACAGGGTTAATCGAGAGAGAAGGAGATTTTGGGAAAGAGGATTTCACTTGTGGCAACTTGACCACTTGCTCTGTGACCTCTTTCTCTGTTGTGCTCGATGGAACTAGTTTATCGTTAATAATTGAATAGTTCGGAAAGGATTGAGTAGTTGTTCTGTGCCCACGTTTGTTTCTTAAAGCTGAAGATTTAATCCTTTGCACTCGAGAGGTGACTCTCAGTCACCGTTTGGTTTGATATAACAAAGTTGAAAGTGTTATATATAGTATTAAGTTTTTCATAATGCATCCATATACAATATACAATTTGAAATATTTATATGGAACAACTTTCTTTCTTAATTGACGTGTGTTTGCTCATTAGTTCGTTTCAAGTAGTGTCGTCTGTGTCTCATTGAAAAGTGTCGAATGTTTCTAGTGAAAAGCTTCCCGGTGAAAAGGGTTAATAGACGATTAACTTTTCATTTATTGAAACGTACCAATATTATTGAAACATTTATTGAAGCATACTAAGATTCAATATATTCGAAGAATATTGAATAGACGAGTAATGTTTCATTTATTGAAACATTTACTGAAACATACTAACATTTAATATATCAATATCGAAGATTGATACATTGAATATACGAGCAACGTTTCATTTATATTGGAAATAAACGAATGACATTTATATTCATCGGATTCCGTTCAAAATTTTCGTCACGAGCTTGACAGGATATCGCAGGAGAAGTTTCCTGGTTTCGTCGTCTCGCGATTATTAAAAAGATAACGAATACTCCGAGAAATGATTCAAGAAATTGATTTACCAATACGCAGACCGAATTGTAAATCGATTAAAGTCTCCATAGACGCACCTTTGGAGTTTCTCGAAATTTCGAAAAGTCAAATTGCTCGGTAGTTTTAGTGTTAAAAACGGACGATCAATCGGATCGATCTTCCTTAGTTTTAGTTCTCCGATTGTTATGCAGGAAACGTTATTCGATCGTCAGTATTAGAATAACTGGAAACGATAGTTCCGAGTCTGCCACTTACATGAACAGCCGACGACTCAACGAAACTGTGCTAAGGATGTTTCTGATAAAGCTGAATGCATAAACTCGCTGTTTTTTCAAGTGGAAAACGAATTCAGATCCCCGGTTAAAAGGATACGAGCGAACAATCGCGACTCGCGAAGCCTGATCCCCCGACTGTTTCTAGCTACTCGTCGATAGCGATAAACGAGCGAGTTTACAAAGCAAATTTGAACGCGTTATCGGGGCCTGCTCCCCGTGTTCCCACTAAAGAAAGACAATTTGACCTAGAACCGATCGCCGAACGAAAACAGCGGCGCAGATAAGACGCCGGTGTTGAATCCGGCGGAGTTTAAAAGAACTTAGAACCGTCTGCGAGCGGGAAACAGCGCCGATAATGGGGGATTACACCGGCGTCAGGGCCAATATGGCGCGGGGACCGATAAGATATCAACGCGAGGAACAATACGGAATTCGCGTGCACATCGACGACACGTAGAGTCGATAAAACATTTCATTGAACGACAAGAACGCGCCGCTGTCAATTCGACGCCGATAATTCATCGTTAATTGCACTCGCGGCTCGATTAATTGCCGCGCGCCGTTAAGCGTCACCGTTGAATCCGACGGAAGAAATATATTCGACGCAATAGTTCTCGCTCGATCCATGAGTTCTCTTTTCCATTTTACGTCGGACGGATGGTTACGTTACTGTAACATAATCCGTAACGGAAACGATCGCTGGATTACCGAGTCGACCGTCGTTAATTCCAACCTTCGTAATGACGAAGTCGATTTTCATGTGTTACGCGAAATTTCGATACGTAATCCGAGTTTGCTCTTCAGACCGAGATGCGAATCGTTCACGAGTCAACGCGACTAACATATTGAACGTTTAAAAATGTACCGAAACGCTCGGTTGCTTTTTTACTTGCGAACTTTCAGTACTAAATCTATCTCTTTCGTAACATAACGATCGGTTCGTCATTGGTAATTAACCGGGGACGAAGGAGAATTCCATGATGTACGTATCGATCGCGTTATAATTTATCCACGTTTATTTTAAAGCGTAAGAACTGATAATGAAAGTATAACGCGTAACTGGAACTCGAGATTTTGGTTAATTTCATTGAATCTCGATGAATCTAATGAATTTCAAACGATCTCGTGCGGCGAGGGTTTAAATTCTAATTTTCGTTTCGCGCAGTCAGTTTGGTGAATGAACGGCGCACGCGAGAAATTGTGAATCGGCGACGAACTATTTTTAAGAACGCCGGCGACCGTTCTATTTCCGAGGGCATTTATCGAGGACAGGTCTATTGTTTAAGATTCCGTTCTTTCATCGCGAAGGGCCGCATTGTCGGAGATCCTATTTTTCCGCGTGAAAAGATTCTATCTTCGGGAATACTTCTTTCATCGGGCGAAACTGGAGCGACTATTTTCGATTGCACGTTCCGCGAAAGGACGACGCTTTATTTTAGCTTCCCCGTTTACGTGCCTGGAACATTTTGCCGCGCTGTATCGCGGCTGCGATCTAAATCGGTCTATAACTCAGTCTAATGCATTCATTAATTTTTTATCACATCGCGACATCGTGTCGCACGGGCGACCGATTGATTCGTTAATTGCGCAAATACTACGTTCTACTTCGAGCCCGTTCCCGCACGAGGGAAGCCGGAGAGGAAAAAAGAAGAGGACGAATGCCGTGCACGTGAAGCACATAACCGATTCCTCGAAAACCCGCCAGTTAAACTTAAAGCGTAATCACTAGCGAACGCCAGCTTTAATGTATGTTAAATAATGCTCAAACATCGTAACCGTCGAAATAAATAGTGCCCCGTGAAAAGCGGATCGGATACGCGAGGCTGACGCTTAAACAGCAGGCGTTGTTAATAATTTTCATTCATAAAGATATAGCCGAGTGTGTCAGACACAGTGGAATTCTCCAATTAACGTGTAGCAGTTTAATTGAGCCCCCGTTACTCCGGTAATTATCTTTATCGAGCTCCTTTTATCTCGGGGGGAAACTTTTTGTGTCACGTTCATCACGATTCTCGAGCTTTTCCAATTCGGAGCACGAGAGTATCTTCGAATTATCGTTTCCAAGTATCGTTTCTACGTAAATCTCATTTCTTTTCGTTTACAATTAGTCGCGACTTCAACGGAAACTCAATGGAGAGGCTTGACGACGATGTAAAGGGATTATTAGTGTATCACGCGGACACATGATACTTCGGAGATACAGTGCTCGGTGATAATTGTATCTGACAGCGAAATAATCATGTTAAACATTTAATACCTCCATTGCGTGAAACAGTCCGCTAATTGTTAAACTATTAACCGTGGACGAGGAGCTGAACATTCTGTACCCGACCACGCAGCTGGATAACATTCCGTTTTTGCGTTTGTTCAACACAGATTGCTGTTTTCAATCGCGCCACTTTTTATTCGTACGAAGGACACTGTTTATACTCGTCCGGATACAAACTGCGTTCGATCGTTTTTCTTTGTTTATACCGCCTACGCGAACGTGATCATTAAAATCGACATTATCGAATCCTTGAGATATAGTCTGAACCACTGTTAATTCTGTAAGAGCCCGTATTTTTTAAACGACTCGTTAGTTGCTCTATTAATTGCCTTTTTTCGGATAAATTACTTCCGTTTCTTACGCAACCGTCGCAACGCGTGAACGTTGAAGCCACGGAAAGCGACTTGGAAACGCCGAAATAAAAACGATTCGTCCTGAATTTTTATCCGAGAAAGTTGCACG